TGGGGAGGTGGTATCCTCAAACACAAATGTACAGGTCGAATGACTCAGCACTAAACATTCGCCAAACAATCGATAACAAATCGCTCGTTGTAAGAACACTCACAGCATTACTGTTTCCTCAAACATTTCTATCATATTCTCTTTTACTTTATCACGTTTTCATATCATAAATTTTTATTACGTCAAAAATAAGTAAAAAATGATGACAGTATCCATATTTACAATAACAATACTAAACAATATTAATACGAACAGAAATGAACAGTAATAGTGACACCGATGGTTTCTATGCGCTCTGTTCTCTTCCTAAATGCATTTTCTAGTGTTCTCTTGAAGACTAATTAAAAGCCCTTTTCTCAAACGAGTTCATTTACCGATCATTTGAGTGCTTATCGACTATCGATCAGTGCCATCAGAGGCAGGGGAAACGAAGGACCCGCATGGTGTGGTGGTGAACACGTTTGTCCCCAGAAAGGGTAATAACGCTTTCGTTCCCCACGCCAGACACCTGCGGTCCGGAGTTTTGCAAATATCTCACATCATTCTGTTTGCTTATCCACTGTTATTCTGTTTGAAATAACTATAATAAACCATAGTTCTTTTATGGAACTAGGTATCAAATATACAAGAATGAATCAACATCTCCACGGATCTTCCACATATTCTCAAGCCGGTTAGTTGCAAGGCAACGTGGCGCCTCCACAGGTGGCGGATAGGAGGTTAGTCGTGGACCAAAAAAGTAAATGGGAGACGGTTAGGAGTCGTCTCCAACAAATAAGTCCCCTGTCTACTCTGAGAGAGCCTGGCAAGCTACCCGCGAGCATACCCAGCTCCCACGTTCAAAGCCCAGCAAGCTATACGTGGGCATCAGAATGCTAAACACAGTTTAAAAAAACGATCCTCATTCCCCTGACCCCGAAAGACCCCCCAATTTCGCAGCGTTGGTTAGGATGAGTACGGAGTGGCCGCTAAAATCTCAGGGCCAATGGAAGCTGCCTGGATTACAAAGAAATATGGTGGCGATCTGTACCTACAATGCACGTACACTTGCATCCTAGTCTTCGATAGAGGACTTGCTAATGCAAGCAAAAAGGATAAGGTAAAACATCATCGACCTGGCCGAGACGAGACGACGCCATCCATTTAACTCTATCTATGACACCGGAGAAGAACTGTTCCTCGGAACAGCAAAAGTAGAGGAGTCGGAAGTGCTGGCGTTCTCTTCAACATGAGTTTCTCCATGGACATCGATTCATTCGAACAACTTACAACCCGGATCGGATGCTTACGACTGGAGAGATGTGGATCAATACCGGCTTTGGCAATCTTCGTCGTTTACCGCTGACATCAAACTATGACGATGAAGAAGTCGATCTCCTATATGGACTTAGAGAAGCTCTACAGAAAAGACCATGCATTCTTCAAGATAATCACCGGAGATTTCAACACCAAGATTGGACCAAGAACAACGTCTGAAGAACGTCATATTGACACCTAGGGATTAGAATGAAGCGAACAGGGTGAGTGGATCTCTATGTTTATCATGGCGAACAAGATCATCCATGGTAACTCGCAATTCCAAAAGCTCCACCATCAACGCTGGGAACGTGGGAGTGTCTCAATAGAGAGTACCATAACGAAATAGACCACATCATAATAAATAGAAAGCTTTGCCTAACCGATGTCGCTGTTGACCTAAAATTCTACATGGGATCAGACCATTGTCCCCTTTGTGCAAGATTCTATTTCTCGTGGAATGGAGAAAAAGCCGCTAAATCCAAAGACCGAAGTCGCAGAATCACCGTAAACTGGGACTTATTCAATTCATTAGTCCGTCGTTGGGAAGAAGCCGTTGTCGCTAACATCGACGAAGAATACGATCAACTCATTCAACATCTTCACTTTAGCGATATGAAAGCTAAAAGTTTGAAAGTCACCAAGAGACGTCTGTCTACAGAAACACTCGAGCGGATACGCCAAGGTGAAATAAAACGAGGTGCAGGCAGCCGCGAACTAGCGTCCGAACTTGAAAAACAATGCAGGTAGGCGGTAAAAGAAAATCTGAAAGAGAGAAGAGCAGCAGTAATGATCGAAGCTGCAGAGTCCGGGAAAAGCATTCTCAAAACCCACCAAAGCTTCGTAAATTACAAAACCAAGATGATTGCACAAGCCCAGAGGGAACAGTTACAGCGTCCAGGAAAGCAATGGAGAAAATTATTCCGACTACTACCCAGATTTCTTCAATAGACATATCCGCCTTCCCTCATATGAAATGAAAGGATGGACATGTCGTACCACCGGTTCTCCCTTCCGAAACCCAACATGTCATTTCGTCGGTGAAAAATCGAACAGCACCAGGTCCGGGCAGGAGAAGACGAGAACACCTGAAGAACCTTCCGCCAGTCCTTGTAAACACACTGGCTCGGCTCTTCACACGTTACCTGTCCGAATGCAAGGTCCCTACTCAGTGGAAGACCAGAAAAACTGTGTTATTGTTCAAGAAGTGTGACCCGCACGATCATCGGCAAATATCGCCCAATCTGTTTACTGTTTGTCGTCTATAAACTTTTCACTCGAGTCATCCTAAACAGGATTAACAGAACACTAGACGAAGGACAGCAATGTAGCTTTGTCTCACTTCCATCGATTTACAGAAGGCCTTTGATTCAATTGAGACGGAAGCAGTTTGGGAAGCCTTGATAGTCAAGGAGTCCCTACTTAGTATTTAAGGACTCTTGTGAGGTGCACAACAATTTCACAATCAAGATATCACCAGTATACAACGATAGTATACAACGATCACTGTTGTCAAAAGAGGGGATAAGCAAGGTAACACCATCTCACAAAAATTATTTACCTCCACCCTCCAGAACATCATGCGAACATTGCAACAGGATAATATGGGAGTGGAAATCGTCGGTCGTTAGTTACACCATCTTCGCTTTGCTGCATATGATTGACGACTTTGATAAAGCCTGTGGAAAGATTGGTCTTCGACTAAATCTCACGAAAACGATGTTTATGAAGAACGGTTTGGTTCTGTATGCCCCATTCAGGCTCAATGGAACGAATATCCCCGAATGCTCTATCTAGGTCAGGAAATCAAAATGGTAAACGACTTAGCTCCAGAGCCGAGCAAAAGAAACGGGCGGCTTGCGGAGCTTCCAAGACTTTCAAGAGATTTAGTGAAGAGGACAAAGAACACCCGACTCCGTGCCCACCTTTTCGACTCAACGGAACTTCCTGCCCTAAAGTTTGTGTCAGAAACCTGGTCGCTGCATAAGCGGAATGAAAAAGCACTCAGCGTTATTGAAGGCGCAGTCGAAAGGACTATGCTAGGAGTATCTCGTTCACACAAGTAAGGGGTGAGATCCGAAGTCCCGATTTGCGTCACCGATCAAAAATCAAAGATGCCGTTCTGTACGCCAAACAGTCGAAGATAAGGTGGGCCGGACGCGCAATGCGCATGAATGATAATCGATGGACAAGAGCCATTAGTAACTGAGTTGTCAGGCGTACTGCAGGAAGACCACCGACCCGATGGTCAGAGCTCTTCACAAAGAGCCTTGAAGAAAGATATGATGCTCGAGAAGTCCCTAGAGCGAACAGCATCCACTTGGCTACTCTTGCACGTAACAGGAATAATTGGAAGATTTACTGGTGCCCGCTCAAATCACTCGGCGATCAATGGAACTACTGATGATACGGGTGACTCAACATAATGTGCAAAATTTTCTCAATGCTGACATCAATGTGTATGCCTGATGGGCAGCATACGGTAAACATTGGCACAAATACCATTCATCACCATAAAGCGTTAGGGCAAAATCTTCTCTATATCTGTGTCATTCTTTCAACTCTTCAAGCATCTTAGTTATCAAAAAAATTGTCGTCTATTGTCGAAAAAGTAGCAGGTCTGTCACAGCGGAAAATCGGACGTGTTCACGAAAGGCTTGAGTCTGTACAACTAATATGCAATGCAGTGCTTTTGCTGTGTTTCTGTGTGTTTTCCGCGAATTTTTCTAACAGCCGCCGTAATCTCCTTATGTCGATCTACCGTAATCAGATGGTATCTGAACAAATGTGTCGCTGCTGTTGTTTAGACGGCGTGCTCCGGCTATGAAAATTTGTACTCTATTTGTTGGCCTAATCGTCACAGTTCATCCTCAGGTTTCCATCAAGTTTTTTTTACATGATACCAGTTTGTTTCTTCTTCTTTTCATTTTTCTTTTTTGAATCACTTTTAGAAACGCAGGAAACATTAAGAAAACAGTAACTGAGGAGATTTTCCACATTGTCTTCAGTCTTTTTTTTTGGCCAGTAATTTTTTTTACTATAATGTCTTCGGTTTTTTGCTACGGTTTTCCCTAGTTCTCAGTTAGTTACTCGTCCTGCTGTACAAAATTACATGTGAAAAAGACGTATGATTATAACTGAATTGTAAGTTCATTTCAATCAAGTTATGCTCCTAGCTATTTACTTATTTTTGAATAACCGACGATTTTCCAAGGAAGAGCAGATTAGCTTACTTGATTAAAACAATACTTCTGAAAACTAATTGAAGCCTAAGAGAGCTAAATAATGATGGTCTGGTTTTTAAGAAGCTGTCCTACCAGTTTCAACTACTACTAATACTGCTGAAGAAGCTTCTTTACATTCAGTTATTCAACAATATTAACATGACCGTGAAGTTTTTTTTCGAAATTCTTCATCACTTAGTGGTCTCTCTGCAGTCTGTGTAAAAGCGTTGCAAGCAAAATTTTTTCTCTAAACATTTCTATCACCTAAACACACAATGTGAAATCAAGGATGACGTTAAATATAATCTACACCTTCTATTTAGCTGGATGAAAACCAGAAAAAGTAACTTTGAGCAAAAAATATTGCCATCCAATATGTTCACTGGTTCCTTGAATTTTTTGTTCTCTCATATTTGCTTTAAGAGATTTCCATATTCCTTCAACCCATTTGACAGCGTCTTTAATCCATTCCCCAGTGGAATGTTCCAGGTGAATTTGCATGAATGATAGTTACAAAAGAAACTTCTAGAAAAAATTTTTCTCAGAAACTTCGCTATTTTCAGAGTGGTGTGTTCAGCCCATATTGGGGATCTAATCTGGCGAGATGGATCTTTGATACTACAAGTAATGCTTTATCGAGCTTTGGAGGAGCTGGTTACTTTAACAGCATCAACACCGTTAATGGCATCACTACTGTAATTGCGAACATCGGAGGCAGACCTTATACGGCACAACTTCCCGCTAATAGTGTTGTCTCGATGAACAGCAACTATAGAAATTACAATGGTCAACAGAGTGAAGAGGTCACGATCGTGGTAAATGGTGACGTTACCGTGTATAGGACAATGAACGGCAGAACTATCGCCACTGACGGCTATGGAAGCATACGACCTGATGGTGGACCGTTTCGTATATACTAAAGTGTTAGATACAGTAACTAACGAAGAACTGTAGAAAATATAATGTTACTTACAGCTTGGATACCAATAACAGATGTGTCAGTACTTTTTTCCCACTGTAGTAAAGATGATTAAAGAAATTCTTGCGTTCGTTCTATTCAGTCTACGGTTTTAGTCATTTTTGTAAATGTCTACTCTGAAGGTTATTGAAGTTGCGGTGATGAACATATACGTGGAATTTACTGTATATGCAAAAATGCAAAGAATATTTATAGTTATTTGGTCTTGTTAATACAATAAGTGTTGCTGTCACAAAGCCTATTTTGGCATTTCTAGACGATCATCCTATATCGTTTCACCTACATGCAGGAATATGTGAAGGATTAAATCAGCAGATGTGTAACATTTATCTACTGTCCATTACTTCTTCACGGCAGTACGTTATGCGAAATAAAACACAATGATACTGATATTTACAGCCTCGTTGACGGTTCACCACCGATGGCACCGTTAGGGCGAAAAAATGCGGAGAAAGATGAAGAATGAGAGACTCATTAGTGCAATCGGTAACATGTGAACTCCCGAAAAGGGTAAACGCGGTTCGGTTTAATCTAGGATCCAAGTTTTTGAAATATCTTAGGGTTGTGTTTCACATAATACCCTACTGTAAAAAATTAGTGGGCACTAGTTAGAAGTCATGCATTATGATTTCGACTGCGGCCTCAGCTTAACTGGGTTCAACGCCGATTTATGTTCCACAGACCATTCCATTGTCGGGTGATTGCTGATGGTACCATTGGTGTAAAAAGACTGGCTGAGAGAAAGGCCGAACGAGAGACTCAATGGTTCTCGGCTTAACACGTGTGCCCCCGGAAAGGGTATTCGCAGTTCGATTCGCCCTGGGATTCACGTTTTTGCAAATATCTCAACGTCATTGTGGTAATTTTGGTAACCTTGTGTTTAAATCAGCAGATTTCACTCGAAAATGTTTTCCGTTATATCTTTGTGCCCTATGCAGGCCTAGTAGAGTACTGGGCTTCACTTCAACTTTCCCAACCAAATGTTCTTTTATACGAACCTAGAGTTGTCTACCAGTTTCGCCAAAGTATTCGTCCCGCACGCTGTATAAGAAACCAAGTATACCGTACCCGAACTCACGCGGTCGCCGTTAGTGCAAATTATGTACCTTGGGTTATGCATATATGTGACAAGCTACAACTACTTACCTCTATGAAATGGGTGTGAGAACTGTGAAATATTTTGGGAGCGCAGTCATTACTTCCCGGACGAGAGTTTTTCTGAATCCCCGCTCTTTATGAGTGTTAATTCTTCAGAGTCGTTCCCTATCCTTCAATTACTCGAAGAAATTTTTGCCATTGATTTAAAAAAAAGGCGCTGCTAAGAAGTTTTCTTGAAAACTCTGCTATTAGTTAGCCCTTTCTGAGCAATGACACTGTACAATGAAGAATGCTAATTTGTTACGTTTCCGTGAATCCGTCGGGCAACTTGTAGCACGATTTGATACCTTCTCAAAAATCGAGTCATTCTAGAAAAAACCAAGATATTAAAAGAAAAACCTTATTTCGATTCTCAATGGCCGTCGTTTGCCTGTGTGTCAGTGGGATGATCACTGAACATTTCTGCCAAAATTCCAGCCGTACCACCAATACGGGAATTCGATAACTCCTTTTCCTGACGTCTCCAATATAACGAACGCTAATTGAAAAAGTGCATGGGCTCGCGAAACATGTACAGAAATGTCATCACAGCACTATATCTGCATAAACAAGCGTTGGGGCTCTTATAGGGCAACGATGATGGGTGCCGTGTGATGCACATAGTCTTTGGTTCTATCCCTATCTGCGATCTAACCAATTAGACGGTGTATATATGAGTATGTGTGCAACAAAATAAAGGAATATTTTTATGTGTGAAATTCAATTAATTGTCGATAAGGCGGTTTTAAATATAAAAATCTAAGTACTAATAGTGTTTGTAACACATACGAAACTCTACTGATGAAACTAATAGTGACGGAATTAATGTTAAAAGCATTGATTAGCAAGTGCTATAGCAATACAGGAAGCATCTGCTCAACACGGTGGTGCATGATCATAAAGGTAGGAAATCATATAATGAAGAAGAAGTAATGAAAAATCAATATGCATGCTGTACAAACAACACAGAAGACATTCTTTCTTTGTATATATCTTTCTACTTCTGTTCAGCAAACACGAGGTGCTTTTCTTTGATTCTTTCTTTGATTCACTCACTAAACGATAGGCGGATTTGCTCTGATATATTTAGAATAGATGATATGGGTAGGTAGTGCATAGAAAGGAGAGAAGCAAAGACGAAAAACAAAAACAAGGTAGGTGAACTGCTTTATTTTCTGTTAAAAAGATTTTCCATGAGAATAGATAAATTTCATTATTAGCGTAAATTATTAATTGTTAGCTGACATCTCAAATACCCGACGATAACGTAGTGAAACTTGAATAAAGAACAAAAAAGGACGAATATATCTCTAAACGTAAACTTTGATCATCTAGTAAGTAAAGATAAGAAAAACAACATACTCTAGTAAAACTATGCTAGTATGAACTGAAAATCTGACTGTGGCCTACTAATAAGTAGTTTGGGAGTTTTGCTACCGTTCTCTTCATGCATACCGTAACTACCATCAGTTGTGTAGATGGAAATTAGATGGTCATTTGTGAAAAAGAATAAACTATTCACACAAATTAAGAAAATCACATGGGATAGATGGCTGAACCATCTGCGGCAATAGCCAGATTTTCAAAACAAATGATTCTAAATGCCTCAAAAAAGTTTCAGAAGCGAAGTTGGGGCTACCTAGAGGACAGTCTCCACGGTGAGGACTGCGTATCGTCGGCCATTATTGAATCGGGTCCAAAGAAATCATCACAGTGACCGAGATCAATGAGGTTGATGTCGTTCGACGGTGAGAAGGACCGCTCGGCTAGATCGTCGTCGAGGAGATTTGAAAACGTAGAGTCTAACGCCACCGGAAACGACTGAAATGAGTTATCAAAAAAGTTCTTTCGCCGTGTTCTCATTCACAACGATACCTATTCTCTGATGCTAAAATCTCGTCAAGAAAGTCATTTTTCGCATCATCTCTCATGTTTCGCAAAAAAATTGAATGCCCTGTAGATTGCCAAGATTCCCTTTCAAATTACCGCACTGCACTGTCGGAAAATAGGTCTGGTGTAAATAAATAGGCAAGAAAGTAAATCAAATATAAAATTTAAAATGCATTCGCTCTAAGTTAATTAGAAAAGCTGCAAAAAAGCGAATGAGTTCAACAGATTTCGTGTACATTGAAATATGAAGATGAAGGCGCAAAAAAGGTTCTCATTATCAACGACAGATTTTGCTGTTAATGAACCAATTGCACCCGTATCTTACAGTGTTCATTTCAAAAGCTGCGTAATGGAAATGACGATCCTAAATAATGAAAGTGTTGGAGGTGAAGAAAAGTTGTTCTTAAACTCGTCCTCAGCTTCTTTAGCATCACACAGCGACGAGCCACTTCTTGATTTGAAATTCGCATCAGAAGGACTTGATGATGATTCTTTCGCTGATGATCACTTGCTATGAGTTGACTCCTAGTGAAATCACTACCACAGCGAAAGAATGCTAGGAAATCGACACAATGCACTAAAGACTTCAACTTCGTGATTGACATTGGCCAGCTGAAGGAGATCTAATTGTTCGACAGCAATATTCAATCGATAATATGCTGCACAATAATGACAGAAGACTGCATGAATTTTTTGGACGTCACATGAAAAGACATGAATTATTTTTCGAAACTCTCCTTCAGCGAACCTACTCATTAACTTTGTCTCTAGGGAAACGCCGCTTTTAAATCACCCTAACGGCTACGTACTTATTCTCCAGTATCTATGTTGGAAAAACAGATTTCAGATGTTCGAGATTCGAGAAGATGGATCACTGAGGAAGACCTGGCTCGACACGAAGGCGAAGCTGCAACGTCGAGACGAACAACAATCATGGACCATCGACTCGGATCACCGGCTCTGAGGAAGACGAAGACGTCGAAACGTTAGCCGAAAATAAATATATTTATCAACCTCGTGCAGGCTTATCAAGAAAGAATGCAGATTTCAGATGAATCGTGAACTCAATTACTCAGTGAGATGAAAAACCCCTGTTTCCACACACTTTTCATTTGAAAAAAAAGCGGATAAAACATGAATATGGAAAAAAAAGCAGCAGAAACTCGGAATGGGTGCCATTTGATAGAGAGAATTCGTTAGTAGCGGAGTTTATCAAGTTAAGGAGGAATTACCACTAATATCTAATACAGCAACTAAAAATAAAACCAGAAATCGATGACGACTACGTGAGAACATACATGGGACATATTGGAGCGGTAACCGACATCGACCATGAACACAGGAAATATGTTGCTCATAAAGACAGTGTAGATTCCGAGCAAAAACCGTAATAAATGATATTTTCCAAGGTACATTCATTAACAGGGTCCACTAGCGGTTTATATGAGTATCACAGATCTCCCTCACAGAGCAATTCTATGCCGACTATCAGCGAGGCCACGTAACGAGCCCCAGGGGGTGGATAAGGGATCTGTCGCCGACCGACCAAAAGCTATTATATGCTTTCCTCAGACGCGTGGGGATACAAGGGATAGAATCCTTGTTTCTATAGTCCCAATTTGACATATACTTCATGTGTTTGCGAAGATATACTAATGCATGTGTACGTTGATGTGCTCTCGTTTGTACCGATTGTATTTTACGAGTCAATTCGGCGAAAATTTGAAATCAACAGACTAGTAAACACAAGGAATGCGGTTCGAAGTCGCCTTCAACAAATAGGCTCCTCAAATACTCTGGAAGAGATTGGCAAGCTATCCATGATTATACCCAGCCTTCAGGTTCAAAGTTCACCAAGCTATACGTGCATATCAAACGCTAAACACAGTTAAATAAGTGGGCTGCATTCCCCTGACCCTGAGAGGCAACGCTGAGTAGGACTAGTACGGAGAACGTGCTGGAAAACAAAAGCCATTCTAGACTGTCTAAATCTCGAAGCATTAAAGTGACGATTTCTACATACCATGCACACTCCTCTATAAAAGACACGATCATGCAGGCAAGAAGGATAAGGTACGACACCATATGACTGCGACACACGTCACAAACCCAATGCTGTCTATAACTCCTGTGAATATATGAGAGTTTCTCGGGACATGCGATAATGGAGGAGTAGGCAGCGTCGGCGTTTTGTCAACACGAATTTGACTATTAATATCGATTCATTTGAACAACTAATAACCCAACTAGGACGTTAACGGTTGGAAAGATGTGAAACAACATCGACTTCGACAATCATCATTGTCTACGCACCGACATCAGGCAATGATGAAGAAAAAGTCAAAATTCTTTATGGAATTAGGGAAGTTCTGCAGAAAACATCATACTTTCTTTAAGGTCATCTGGTCTGGATAGGATATGATCTGAACACGTGAACTTCTCACTTCTCATAAACACAGTGGCCCGTCTCACCACACGTTGCCTGTCAGAATGCAAGGATCCTATTCGATGGAAGAACACTAAGACCGTGTTATTGTTAAAAAACGGTGGCTTCCACGACATCGGATAGCACCGGCCTCTCTACTTGCTGTCTATCGCCTTTAAACTCTTCACTGACGCCGTCCAAAATAAGATAAACAAAACCCTAGACCAAAGATAGGCACGTCAGAAACCTGGTCGCTGAGTAAGTAGGATGGAAGATGATTCCGCGCTATTGAATGTTCAGTCGAAAGGACAGTGCTATGAGTATCCCGTTGGACGCTGCATGAGCAGGATGAAAGGCCACTCAGCGTTATCGAACGCGCAGACGAAAGGACGATGCTGGGAGTATCCCGTTCCACACAGGTAAGGGATGGGATCCGAAGATCAGATCTGCGTTAGCGATCAAAAAATCAAAGATGCCGTTCTGTACGTCAAATAGTTAAGGAAAAGGTGGGCAGGACACGTAATGCGTATGGGATGACGACTGATAGACACGAGCCGTTAGTGACTGAATTCTTCGGTATATCAAAAGCACTGCAGGAAGACCACCGATCCAATGGTCAAAGCTTTTCACGGAAACCCTAAAAGGAAGACATGATGCCCAACGAGTCCCCAGAGCGAGCAGAACCCACTCATGGACTTCCCTTGCGTGCAACAGGGAGAAATGGAAAGTTTATTGGCGCTCGCTGAAGTCATTCGACAATCGACGAGACGATAGGTGATAAAAGTGATGAGCACTTTATATAAGCAGTATTCTTGATGAGTACTCTAGAACATTCTTACAGTTACTAATGAGCAAACCTTGTTGACTTCTCTACCTAAACAGGAACAAATCTGCTAAGCACCTCAGAAGATTTCTGGGAACCAATGTCAAAACAAATACCCACATTAACAGATGGCGAGTAGCCGGCTCCGATAAGCGGATTCGTCGTTCGCTGCATGGAGTTAGCGGTGACGTTGACAACGTCTTCGGTTTGTGTGCTGGCATCAGCTCGGCGGTATTGCGAAAGACGATGTCGAATTGAGGATACCAGCGAAGGTGGATCCATATACGATGACGGAATTGACTAAAAATTGTGTAATAATACCCAAAATTGAACAGATTCGCTCTTCTCAAAACTTTTCCACGTTATAGTGTCGTCTGCTGTTTGCTACTGCAGTATTTAATCTCGTAAATTTAGCTATTTCACTACTATAAATTTTGTTGATATTGTAAATCCTACCAAACCAACCAAATTACTCAGAAATTTGATATTTGGTTGTTTTATCCCCATATTCCAATGTAAAGATAACTGAAGTCATTTGCGATGAAACTGACATCTTACGCGCTAAGCGGATTGACCTTGTTCGCACATCAGTAGACATTCATGTCTACAACCATGTGACAACCAAGCATACAGGCTGTCTATTTATACATAATTCGTCAGTACCAATAGATTCGAAAACAATCATTGACTTCTTGTCAAACCATATTCGAGAGAAACACGACACTTTCTGGAAGGGTATTGTGTAGAAGAGTTGTCTAATTGTGTAAATACGATCGATTTAGAGAATATTCTGAACCACATAGAGAATACTCCTTATTATAAATGTTTGACGTTTTATCTACTCCTATTATTTTTCACTGCAACGTATTTCGCCAGATTCAACCACAGTGATGCTAAGTTATTTGCATATACTGTACCGCGGGCTACATTCGAACCTGCGACTACCCATTCTGGGCGCTTACATATTACCACTATGACCATTGCTTTGCCTTCGTCCAACATTTTTACATGTTTTACACGTTTCTTATGTTCATTAAATATTGTTCTAGCCTCATGAATATCACGGTGTACCAGAAAAACATCTATCGAAGGTATAATGTCATTCTGTCAGTATAATGTCATTCTATCGAAAGTCCTTCACGACCGCTATGTATCGATTTTGTAACATACTTGCACTGTGCCATCCCTACCTTAGATTGAAAGACTTGCGTCATCTGTGTGATACCCTGTAACCTGTTCTGCTTGAGAATTACATTTTATTTGTGTTTTGCGGTTCTCGTCGCTGCGTAGTTTCAAAGCCACAATATGTTCCGCCCGCATGCAAACAGTATATAAGCTCAGCCATTAATTCTTGGATCACCATGTTGGCACGCTTTCGACTTTTGACGTACTTCTTAAGTGACAATGTATAGTATCACACTTTTTCCTCGTACTGCTTAATCACTGAGATGTGGAAGATACTTCACCACTGCAAGTGTTCCTTCCGCGTAACTAATTATTGACTATGTAGCTGTTTATATATTTTCTTTCTATATTTTTGTTATCGTCACATTATTATTATAGCAGCATGTTTCTTATACATACATGCCTAATTAACCAAACTTGGGATTTCGAATCACGGCTGCAAAGAAACAGCCATTACCTGACACTTGACACTCGAATGGCCCGTTCTCACTGGTTGTGCGGGCCCCAGTATAATCTCCATTTTTCGTAGACTTGCTGGTTAGGCCGTTGTGGTTACCTGGAATCCCGAGATCAACCTGGCCAAAGTCTGGACAAGCCTTCACCACTGCAAGGAGTCGCAGTCCCTGTGAATCAGAGAAAGATTTACCACCATACGACTTTGATACCAAGACGGTGGTGGATCCTGGTATTGGTTTACTCTCAGCTAGGTTTCCTGATAGAAACGCCGAACTCCTTGCCAGGTTGGGAAACCCTGCCAGGGGATGAATTCCCCTCTCTACATCGCAGTTCGACACCCAGGAACACCTCCCAGCCACGATGAGGTGGCAAACCTTTGGGAAGACAGCCATTACAATCGGTTTTACGGCGTTTCCGAACAAAAGATATCTTGGAACAACTCAAAAAATGATAGTCGACAATAAATACATGAAATTGGATCGTCGGACCTGAGCATTCACGATGTAAACGTTGATAAATCTTTCGTTATGAAAAGATGATCATCACAAATCATAGCATTATTGTTTTTCCACACATTTGAACCATTTTGTTTCTAATTTTATTACATTATATACCTCAAAAAAGTAAAAGTAGTAGTAATACTAAAAGTTAGAAAAAGGATAAAGTTCTCGGCGTTGATCAATCACTGAGGGATGCGCCATACCTTCGACTTCATTAAGTATTGTTGAAGGTGATTGAATGCATATCTGTCCTTTAGAATGACTCGCGGTGACCTATCGATGTATCGAGCCTATGATGCTATCCTACTAGACGAGTATGGTACCAATTCGCCGACCCCGGAGAGATAGAAGGCTTGGTTAGTCATGGGCACGAGCATCGATTCCACCTGTGTGTCGCAGTGGTGCCTTCAACCACTGCGCCACGTGCCCCTTAATAATACTAACTTACTTACTTGGATACTTGGACGGTCCGTCTTCACGAGCTGTGTGGACCCCAGCACATATGCTATAATATGATAATACTAACAGCAATTATAATTACTATTGTATTAAAAATGCACAACGCTCTTAACACTTATGTCGTCTATGCGTTTGTTTATTCATCTTAAACGGTTTGACCCGTTTCTAATCACCAATGAACAGTTCAGAAGACAATAGAATAAAGTGAAAACACGATTCAGAATCACCCATTGAATGTTCAAAAGCTACATGGGTAGAAGCCGACGAAGCGTTTCGAGTATGACACTTTCTGCATTACTTGTTGGCTTCTTCGTCACAATTCACGCCCAGGTTTGAGTAATTTATTTAGCTAACCGACAAAAACTTTAGGGAAAGATTACCCGAAGACATTTCCCAAACTATCTTAAACCTTTTTCTTTTTGTAAATGACATAACGTCTTCAGCCTCTACCTACTTATTATTCAATTAATAGTTCATTCTTCTGTAAAATTGCGAACGACGAATGAATCATAACTTATGGCACGTCAACAAGTTATTCCACAAATCAATCCTTTGTTTTTAAACCACCTATAATTATCTGGTGAGGCACATTTCAGTATATTCAAATAAAACAATATTTGTGTAAGGCAATTCGAACAGAAGAGAATCACACAGGGATTGCTCGATTAAAAAAAGGTGTCCTACCAGTTCCTATCAGTGGGAACTGCAGCTCTTCATCATATTCTGTCATTTTTCACAAAGAATATAAAAATAAGACCTTTTGTTTTCGAAATTCTTTATCGTTTAATCATCTTGCAGTCACCTATATAAAAACGCTGCAAAATATTTCCTTTTCTAAAATACCTTTTCATTATCTAAGTAAGCAATGGAAAATTGAGAATGACGCTGGATATGGTCTGACTTTTTAAGTTAAATAGATCGTAGATAAAAACAACGAGCCTCCACGATAATGCTACTCAATGCTAAGAGATTCTTTAAGTCTTTCTTTATCCCAAATTTCTCCTATTGGGCTTTGCAATAAATTCTACAGCAGCTAATCCATTTCTCAATGGAATGCTCTAGGTGAATTTTTTAGGATGGAAGCTATAAAAGAAAAGTGCTAGGACCAGTTCTTCTTTTCTTTCTTCCGAGTACCCCGTTATTTTCAGGGTAGTATGTTCAGTCCAGATTCGGGACCTAATTTCGATACATGGATGAGAAGAATTGCCACTCCGAAATATAGTGGAATCATTAACGATAATGGCGTCAGTGCCGTTAATGGAATTAATACCGTATATGCGAACATCGGCGGTAGACGGTATTCCGCACAGCTTCCGCCCACCACTTTTTTTTTGATGAACTCCTACTACAGAAACTACAACGGTCAGCAGACTGAACAACTGAAGATCGCCATAAATGACGACGTTACCGTATACAAAACCGAGAACGGCAAGACCACTGTCACAGACGGCTATGGAAACATAAAACGAGACGGTGGACCGTTTCGTATAATATCAAGTGTCATTTAATATAAACTGAGGAATTGTAGAAAATCTTAATGCTCCCTGCAGTTTGAACACTAGTAATAAAAACCTTTTGCCTTTTTTCATGCCTCTTTTCTTAGTCACATTTAGTGTACGGTCATTTCCATGAACAACTGGTATAGAAGGTAATGAAATCATGGTGATAAAACTTAGTATGAAATTTTCTGTGCATACAAAAATACAAACAGGATTAGCAATCGTTTCACATTGTTAATAAAATGTGCGTTGATGTCACGTAAACCACTTCAATGCTTTTAATCGATTTTTCTATACTTTTGTTGTTCACGACTGAAATCGAGGGCGAAGGGAAAACAAATGAAAAAGATGTTCCTTGGCAAAAAGGAGACCTCTGTTATCGTGATAAATGCGAAAAATCCCTTTCCACATAAAAAAAGACTAAATATACGATGTGTTGCCCAGTTCCCCACCTATCAATACCTGTCATCTATCTATTGTTCTAAAAGGGTATTCCTGGCAATTTACAATAGAAAGTTCGAGTTAAGAAGTATTAAATATTTATGTGACGACATGACCTCAATAGAAGCCCTTTGCGTCAGTAAATTTGGCCAGTATGACCTCAACAAGTGTCACAGGGATTGCGGCAAGGCAAGGCGCAGTCCCATGCGGCAGCATAGAAAGATAAAAATTAGACGTTGCTTCGTAATGTTAATAAGCTTGACATTTCCTCTGATATTTTCACTTCAGCCAAGAAAATCTATTTCACACCAAATCCTGGCTAACTCTACCCATGGATACAGATTTAAGTGCGACGCTCGTCTCCTTCGCGATGCCAGAAAACACTGGACAACTACGAGCCATGACCGTAATTTTGGAAGATAAACAGAAGGAAAACGAACCTCTAGTGAGATCTCTGCCGGATTCTCGTACAATGGTGGGCTAACTGACGACGATGAAATTGTTGGGTCGTCAATTTTCGACTTGAAATCGCCAAACATTTCCGAAAGAAGCGGATCACCACTCTGTCGAACACCAAATGCTTGACAGAATTGCATATTCTCGCTCATCAACCCGGACAGGGTCTGTAAGCAGTGTTGGAAACACTCAAACGTTATCACAAAGTATAATATCTAGTTAACAGTCCCAATTTGTAGGTTGAATAATGAGCATGCAATTATAAGCAACATAAGGACAAAATACTGATCAATCCCTAAGGTGTTCGGCATGCATCCGACTTCACTGAGGATCGTTTAAGTGGCTAAATGCACACCTGGTCTACACAATGACCTACACATGCCTCAAACCAGTGTTTTAACTCACCTCCCCCTCCCCACCTCCCCTACGTCCTATCTCCCACCTGAGACAAGGATTGATTCGGCTCCAATGACCCAAGCCTCGAAGTGGTAATGGTTTTGGTAAGCTAGGAATGAGGACTGAAACCAAGGAACATGTGTGGATTTCCTAACCCTTCTAACCACTGCGCTAAGCGTCATCCATAATAATGGATAAGTTTCCATAAACATGACCCGAAAGCGGCCCTGTAAAGAAAAAACGAAGTATTTTTTCAGAATTTTCAAATAAATAACATTTGCAACGATGTCGAGAATTTTCGCTGTTTTTTAAGCCACTGCGCACCAACATAATCGGATTAGCTTCACATAACTTCGAATTCTTTAGCGTCGTTCTTTTACACACTACACTGCTTTTCTCTTAAAAACTGGTTGAACGACTAGTGACTCAATAGCCTAAGATAACTACCAAATTCGACGATCGAATTTAAGAACTATCATCCTCAATCGTGAGTTTGAACTGATGACGGGAAAATTTCACGGCAATACTCCATTTCATAATACCCGTTTGAGAGAATAACCATCCCGACTTCAATGATGCTGGGATATTTGCAAAACTCCGGACCGCAGGTGTCTGCGGTGGAACGAACGCGCTATTGTCCTTTCTGGGGAGTAACGCGTTCACCACCACACCATGTGGGTTCATCCCGACTTCTTCCAAGCGAAGTTCGAGTTGTGATCAAGAATAAAACAGGAATAGCTCAACGTCGGGATAACAACATAGCAGACTTCATTCCAGATGTAAGGCATGAACGACGCATACTTCTCACAATTGTTGATAAGCCTCCTAGAGATGCGCGGCATTCAATTCCACATGCGGTACCTTAGAGGAACACATGTATACAAGGACTTACGGTGATCTACCAATGTATCAAGTCACTTTTCTCATTCTCCGAAGCAAGTCTGGCGCCAAGTTACTAACCGCGGAGGCATGAAAGCCCTTGGGAGCTTTAGACACAGGACCGAACCAGCGACCAATCCTGCGCATAGTATAGGTCAATCCTAAGCACTTTATTACATCCTCCCCTTTCACAATCCACTTGACAACTTAATTTTTAGACGAACACATTCATGACTAGTGGGTGACCTTAGGCTTAGTTAATTTCCCATTTGATATTTTATTTATTTCAAGTTACCGACGGCTAAAAAGACTAGTGAAGTAATCTACACAATTACGGTCTGATTTGCTACTTGACTATATTCTTTGCCCACACTTTTCATCCGTTGCTTTTACTCCCGATCTTCGCCTGCGATGGTCGTTACTTTGGAGTGCACTAACGGCCAAAAATTCAATTCTGCAAGTGCAGAATGCATGTTACGAATACAGCACATTGAACCGGCGCGCAAATCCGTTCACCTTTCATGCACGTGGTTGAGGATTGGAGTTAAACGATTTCTTGCTCAATCAATTCCTATTTCTGTCTAATAAAAGAACAATTTGCAGTAAATAGTAACCATATAGAGTTTATGGCCAGTAAACTCATTTCAATAAAACTACTTCAACACTAATAAATTGACTGAATTTTATATATTATGTGGATTTCGCTCTTACGGTAATCGTCGGCAGCAGCAATAGTAGATTACCGAAACGACTGCTGGCTGTGTAGACCGAATGCAACTCCTTGACGATTTGAAACAGCATGTCTTGAACTTTATCACGGAGATCATTGATGGCCACCTTGGCGTGGTCGGACAAGCCTTTTGCATCTGAAATCATATCTCATGTTCACTATACACTACTTGAAATCGTAATGAGGATTTTAAAAGAACAATATATATCTCGGTGTGGTGTGACTGCGGACTACTCAAGAAAATCTTTTCATTACTGCTGCAGGCAAAAAAGGAAAGAAATCAACCGCCTAATGACTCCTTTATCCATCCCGGTTTTGCCAACAACTAAACGCTGCTTTAAAAACTCATTGAATCAATTTTCCAGTTTTGGAGTTACATACTAACAAATAGCTGCTTTTATTATCATTATTTAGTTAATTTGAGTTCAGTGGACCTCCATCATATGAGAGACCTAAAGGCATTTCAACGAAGAGGCTAAGTGACCCGTAGCTATGTGGTGGATAGGAGGGTGAACACAGAACACAAGGACCATTTACTTCCATAAGTCTATGGAGGACTTAGAAAAGCGATATCCTTTCGAGTTACTTATACCTTCCATATGAACAATAGCCCATTCGTGCTCGTGTACGTCTGCTGATTCAATCTTCTATACTAGTTTCGATAAAAGCTCCCCAATGATTTGAGACTGTGATGTGAGCGCTTCGGAATAAAAGATCTCATATGTGAAATACAATTCCTTCCGTGTAGTTCGACTGATTAAAACCTATTGAACAACTCGGGCATACAAAAGAGTTTAGTGGAAAATTTACTGGCAGCAGTTCAAATAACTCAATAACTAACGGGATTACAACTGATACAAGTAACAACCTGATTTAATGAATAATTGGTGGGAAACTTCCATTTTCATGAATCTCTACAACCTTTCTTTGATAGAATACTCTTAGTTTTATATCTTGCAGATTCAGGATTTGGATCTTCACGCTTCCCTATTTCTAGGAAGTAAAGTTTCTAATAGAAATTTTTACGACTACGTAATGAAAAAGTTGGAGTTTTTTGTTAGGGAACGGGTAGCGTGATTATACTGACCTCGTTCATTACGCCAGTAACCCACCTACTCTACCATTGATGCGACCCTGTATATCGGAAAAATGGTACTAGACTTATCTGGAACAGGTTCAGTCCCTCTAATTCACGTGAAGAGGCACTAGCATAGCTATTTCAGGATTCCAGAGAGAACAGACTAGACGACTTTTCAGTAACAATGATGAGCAAGACAAAAAATCTTCAAGTAGCAGCCACACCCCCATGCAAAAACTTGCAAAGCATTCATAGATCAAGGAAGCAAGGAAACGAATAAAATGCAAGAAGTGTTGGGATCACAATGGTGGATGTCAAGCCACGTCATGTATAAAAAATAAAAGAATGTTTTTATTAATTATGGACTATCAACTCTTTGATGGCGCGCAATTTGATCTTCCTGCTGTCCATAAAACCTTCCATAAAGTTAGTATTATGCTGATACTTGGCAAGTTACCAATCTCTACTGCATTAGTGAAGTCGCGCATTTTGCCGGACTTTCCGATCTTAGACCACCTCACCACATCCGGGGAGTGTTCCTGTGTGTCAAAATACAATGCACAAGACTAAACAGAAGGCCTAGACAAAAGTTAACATTTCTGTTTCGAGGATCAATTTCATCTTAGGAATAAACTAGTGCCGGGAATCATTGCCGTACTGATAGAAAACTTTCTCACGATTGCAAATCTCATTCAACCCACAGTTTTCTTGAAGGGGTGAAGATCTTACCTAACCAGACAATAACCAACTAATGGAAAATATATTCGGCTTCACACGACTCTTTGGTAAAGATAGACCACTTATGTATCAACTAAGTGATGAAAATACGTCATTCGTAGAATATTACCATAAAAAAAACGATAAACAATCCATGGACCGGCTAGATTTTATGAAAGTAATCATGTCACTCCAAACTCGTGACGAAATATACAGTGACATGATTGCACTTTCCTGCACAACTATTTCACAGCAACGGTGACTACATAAATTATCGACTTCTAAGGACAGCTGGTGAAAAAAAAAACTTAGGCGCGTAGTTTTGAAATCAAAGAATAATGCGTCCGGAGGTGATATCTGCCATGAGGATACGCTATGTACACGATTCTACTCGTGCCATCGTAGAGATGATTGAATACATGTTTTGCTTAAAGAATGATATGTGGGATTCATCGATTTATGGTGGACGAATTGGTTCCCATGGCGCAGGATTGAAGCTAAGAACACATGTGTAATGCAGAACATCGTTCATGATTCCGCTACATGCGCGATTAAGTCAAAACCACCGACTTCACATATATCATCCGGAAATTTTTAAGTAAATCAAATCCAATATGCACCGCATATTTGTCAGCTGTCTCTTTGTGCTGCAAGACGAGAAAAAACATGAGGATATTAGATGGAAAATGATTGTTTAATAATTGTTTTATTCCGATTTTTCTAGTTTTTACTTTACACATCTGTCCTGGGCAGATCGTAGCACTTGCATTGATTCGTTTCCTCGCACTCATCATCTATTAAGGTCTTCGAACCTTTTCTGTATGAGTTCGGCTACTCCTTGAAGATCGTCGCCTTATTTTGCTAAATGCTGGCCAGTTGATCCTCTCCAGACTCATGGGATAGCCAGGATAGAGCTTTCTAACTTAGACTGAATAGAGCAAACTGCTTCCAGAGAATGCTGGTAGTGATTTTCTGATCCCAGAGAGATGAGAGGAAAGGTGAGCTCGCTGCGGTGATGAACTAGAACCATGCTCTTAATAAACGGCTTCCATACCATATAATGACAATAATGTCAATAATAGTAGCATTAAAAATAGTAATAATAATAATAATAGCAATAATAATAGTAACAACGAATTGGCATTTTTGAAAAATTTTTCCAAGAGATAATTTCTTTGAAAACTTCAGAAACGGTTAAGAAGACTAAGCTCAAAAAATAAAAAAGCAACAAAAATGTGAACGTATAGACCCACTGGGATTCAAAATTATAATGGCCTTTAATGGGACGATTTCTTCTTCCTTGAGATTCAGCTTTCTCAACGGGGCCACCAATTCGTTCAGCGTTCGATCAATCAGCACATTGGACAAATGACTACAAACAGATTTTTTAACATTTTTATAAAACATTGAATGAAAAACAATAGAAAATATAAATTTCTTTGGATTTATTATCCTAGGTGAATTTCGCGTGGTTGATTGCATCTCCCCCACCCCTCAAAAAAAATTTACGACAAAAAACAGCTCGGTTTGAAGAAGGCGAAGTCAGTTGAATAGCCATACTAACAACCTAATATCGGCTCATCTAGAATAACTAAAATACAACAACTTCATTATCAAGTTTACTACACCCTACTCAAAGTGTTGAGTTGGTAGAGCTCAAGCGAACGTCTTATTATGGATAATATAAAAGACCTTGAGAGCACTTTTTAGATCGAAAATATGCATTTCTAGAAATCTCTAATAAATTAACGGTTTTGTTTCAAAATTTCTTTGTAGGGATCTTACCCGAGCAACTAGGACAAAGAATTTTAACACGATCTTCTACAACTGACGGTGGCTTAATAACCACCAGATTTACGCGCCATATAAACAATATTGCTCATACAATGAATTGACTTTTTAAAAAATACTAAAGCTACTTTGTTTCGTTGAACTCCGGAGGTAGGCGCCTTGGCACATAGGAATGACTGCAAAGGCAAAGAATATCAGGATTTGGAGTGTTCTGAGCTGTTCGCGCCGAAAAATTGAAGATTGTTAGTGGAGAGTAGCACGACTTCACCAAAGCCACCTGAACTTCACTTACAGACTTTACTTAATAGAAAAAGTGAATTATAGAGAAGATGCACTGAATGACGCATCAAAAAAATCCACATAATATTTACATTTTAGAGAAGTTTCGAAAACTAGTAAGGAAAATCAACAAAGAATAAAGTATATGGCATACAAGAAGAATTGTATTAAATAAAATTTCCATACTTCCTGTACATGCAAAATCGTAGACAACAATAGATGCAAAAGGATGTGCTTGATAAGTAACGAGAGACAAGATTCTCAGCCATGTAAAAGCGCGCGAAAGAATCTCCACATATTTGACTCCATTCATAGCAATGCGGAGATGACTTAATAGACATTTGGCCTTTGAACTCCTAGAAGCTATCGAGCTATAAAGTCTGTGGTTTTATCCTCTAAGACAAGTCCTAGAAGAGATGAATTGAGGGCTTAATTTTCCCAATTGGGAAGTCAAGCTAAATATCAAACGTGCAACGGGTGGGTGTCACTCTATACACATAATTACTCTCGTCTTAGAGCAGACTCACATTGCGAGAAAGACGATTGAGTTCTCGAAGAAGGTACTGATCTCAATTTATATTAGCTTACATTAGAGAAGGAAGGGTAGTGGACAGCTCAAAGGTCGGTGGTTTCTGCTCAATATAATGTTGATTAATGCCCGTCTAAGCGGAGATCCAAAGAAAATGAGAAGCGTTTGTGATCCATTAAAACAAACCAGCCGAAGCGAAGAAGAACTTGAAACTACCTTCTCAGCTCACCTTATCATCAGTATCTTGCAATTCGGCGATTTCAGTCAGGCTATCCACCCAATCCACAGCGGCGATCGCTCGTCGATGAGCGATCTCGGACAGTTCCTCCGTACGGGCCATACGAAATGGTTCATATCGCATCTGAACAGTCCATTCTTAACTAATTAGTAATTATACTTCACAGATCATTCCCGTTCACGACTGATTGCTGATTGCTGATCGCACGGGTAGAAATGACAGAGAAAGGCAAAGCAAAGGCCTACGTTAGCATTGTGCATAGCACGTGAGTCCCAGGTAAGAATAACCTAGGGTTCGAAGACGAAGGTTTCCAGTTATGCTCATACCTTATCATCCTTGTGGTTGTCTTTTACGTAATACTCTACCATAGAAAGAGAACAGGCAGTAAGTAAAAAGTTAAGAGATTGTAACTAACGATCGTTGATCTAAATGTCAGTTCTTCTCTTTTTTGTGTTAGAAAAAATAACTAAGTAACCACAGCTTCATGAAACACCAAAATTACGTTCGATGGAGAATTAATGTATGACAGCGCCCTTGTTTATGGCACTGAGTAGTTGTCGCTGGAGTATTTTTTTCTGAAGCCCGGAAGAGATAAAACACGGTGAACAACCGAAATACATTGATATAACAACTGACGAATTTCAAAGACATTAGCGACTACAAATAGAAGTTTGTGTTCTGTTACGACCGACCCAGATCGACAGCTCGATTATTCGTAGAAGTCGTTTCCGAGTTAGAAGAATCCAAGGCGCGTAGTAGCAAGCATCTCAATCTACACCACTGCCTTATGACTATCTGCGGTGAAGACATGGGAGCTCGTCGAGAATCCAGATGAAACCAATCTCAACCAATATTCAGCATGTTAGTGGAAATACGATAGATCTCGAGCCACAGTGGCACTTACGAGTTCAACTTCATCCTTTATTCATCCTAGCTTATAGTGCTCAAAAACATCCTACCTTTTGGCGTTTTAGAGTAAACCATGGTCAATATCAATCAGGCAATGTACTGAAATAACCCCGAAATTGGTATTTAGCTGTTGTAAGGGGGGTTTTATTAAAGTTTTTCCCTTTAAAAGCATTGCCGAAATTTAATCCGAAGCATCCAGATGTGTATGACGACAAAGTATTAAGGTATCAATCGCCATCAATTATTAAGAATTCGGAACATCAAGGCACTTTATTCGGCTATTACGTTATTCTACCATTGTACTCACTGCTGGATAGAACCATTGAATAGGTAGTAGTAAGACGTAGAGAAGGGCTTATCGAATTCGTATTTAAAATAATCCTAAAGAAACCGCGTGGTGCAAATTACTGTAAAAGGGAGCTCGGTTAGCGAAATCATTTTCTATATGACCAAATTTCACATGTCGCACCGATAATAGCACCTTCATTTAATTCCTTGCCTTGCACCCAGAATCTGTGAGATTTTTCCGACTTGGTTCGGTTTCGACTTGAGGACTTTGTTTTCTTCAAGGTATTCTGGGCTAGCTCCAATAGAGCGCTCACAGGTCTTCAAAACAGCAGTTTAAAGTAGATTCGCGACTTATTAAGTCCACAGATTATTTAGTTCGAATGATTGCGTCCAGTTTAATTTGGTAAAATTATTCTGACCTCCGTTCGTCTGCCGTCCATTGATGGTTTTTGTTCGAACATTTCCTTAAGAGAAATCGTTCGCGGATCTTTTGGTGGGGGAGTAGAGGTACTTAGCATGTTATCTCCTTTAACTACCTAAAAATCTCGCGCAGTAGACAATATCATATTCAATGGATGGAAAAAGATAGTCATTATACTTTTCAAGAAACACCTTAGCCTCGATATTCATCAACTGTAACAGTAATAAACGCGTGTCACCGTTGAGTTTTCTCGACCAGTCATCACCATGTAATCGCAACTAAACACATGAGTTACTACGACCATTATCCAAACTGGACCAGTTCATCGAGATCGAAAAAAACGGTCGTTTTGCATTACTTACCACATGACTAAGTAGCTCTTCATCTATCGGCTTCTTTCTTATCCTCGGTACTTTTTGTTTCCCTGTCAAATCTCTGTCTGGTCGTACAGCTGAAATACATTATAAAAACTATAGACACCTGCAGTTCGATTTCAACTCATTGTTGTCCTTCTACAAAATAGTTCCTTCTTTTCACGTCATTCCACTTAACTAACATACATAACTGAAAAAAACAAAGAATTTCAAAAACGCCTGTACCTTTTGGGTCCATGCCCACCTCAATGCACCGGTTGAAACGACAGTAACGGCAGCTATTTCGTTGAACTAAATATAGTAGTATGAAAAACTTCCACAACAAACGATCAACACCTTCTGTTCATAAGCTGCTGAATGCACTGTTAATTATAATTAACTCATACTGATGCGATTTAAATGTGAAAACGAATCCTTACTCAATGGCTTTCCTCTCGACTGTGGTCGCGAATTTTTTCAATGTCTTCCTATATAGGAGCGCTCCTTATTGAAAAAGGTCGACTCATTTACCCCAAGATTTCCCAAGATAATAAGTAGTTCGACATTTTCATTCGCACATCCGGAAAGCTAAGAATACTTACTTGATACTTGAACGGCCCGTCCTCACTAGTTGTGCGGGCCCCAGCATAATCACCATTTTTCGGAGATTTGCTGGTTGAGCCATTGTGGTTCCCTGGAATTCCAAGGACAGGCTGGCCAAAGTCGGCCCCAGGTCTTCACCACCACAGGCAGTTGCAGCCTTTGTGGATCAGAGGAAAATTCGCCACCATACGACTTTGATACTAGGACGGTGGTGGATCCTGGTATTGGTTTACTCTTAGCTAGGCTTCCTGATGGAAACGCAGAACTCCTTCGCAGCTTGGGAGACCCTGCCGGGGAGGACGAATCTCCCGCTGTTCATTGCAGTCCGAAACCCAGGAACACCTCCCAGCCACGTTGAGGCGGTGAACTGTTGGGAGGAAGCTAAGAATAGATCTATGCTATAGTCACTATCGCGAAACAAACTTAGTTGCAATGTGGTAAAACTCCCTCTAATCTACGATACCCAACAACAATCGATGGTGTTGACCCAGGTGAAGCACTAAGAGAATTATTTCGAAACTACAAGGAAAGAGCCTACCACAACAGAATATTGGTCAAATTGATACAATGCTAATGCCTGCGGCATTTGTGAAGACAGTTCATTCGAATATTTAAGTAGGACCTTTAATTAAAAGCTGTGAAGTGATTTTGTGTTTCCAAAGCAGAAAAAATTGCACCAGAAACATGTAAAGTGTCAAGCACTAACGAAGATATACAGTCTTCTCGGAATCGTGTACTTCAAATTTTTCTAAAGACTATACTTTTTAACAACTGAATATTTCGCTCCTCTTTTTTACTATCTATACTATCTTAACTGTTCATATGACAAAGTTACCAATAACAACTATAATAATAATGTACTCCTACTTCAGAATCCTCTCCATTGTGTTCCTGCATCCTATAATACATATTATTCTGTGCGGCTGCTAACCATCAATTAACTTATTATAATAATAATAATCAAAAATAATGTCCGATCTAAACAGTCACCCCAATCATCACTTTATTTCAACATTGCATTTCATCTCTGTTTTTCGTACTACTTTTTTGTTATTACTTCTACGTAACTTGTCAGATCGGAAGGGATGGCATACTTTCAACGTCATGTGACCGTAAGCAATGGGACGCGAGCAGCTCAGTGGTTAGAGGAGCCGTGCAACTCACATGGGTTCGATCCCAAGATCACCAAGCTCTCCTCTTTCAGTAGTTGGTATCAGACCTGCCTAGCAACATAGAAGTACTGGCTCAATAGATCGGTAGGCCATGACGACTCATTGTAAAGGCCAGATATGCATTCAATCACTTCAACTGTGCTTGATGAAGGCGAATGCATGCCGCATCCCTCAGGGATTGATCGGTGCCGAGAGCTCTTGAGATTTTGTTACTTTCACTGAAAAACATATAAGTATCCAAAAGCATAAAAATTTGACCATTTTCCCACGTTCGAACAGTGGTAACCACGTAATTCACAGAAGATATAGTTGACAAATTTTAATCTTAAAAAAGCTAGCAGCTTTATAATTACCAGACCGAATAGGGATCTCATGCAATCATCGACCAATCAGGAAGAAAAGGAAAACAATAGCAAGCCATAAACTTGTTTCCTATAGTTTGCCTGCTAAATTTTCATACATAACAAGGTAAATTCGAAACAATTTCCTTCTTCCTTATACATTTAAAGAACTATTAGGTTGTTCGGAAATCAACAAAGAATTTCAAGCCTGCATTCTTAAATTGTCACTACTGAACTCTGAATGAATTTTTTAAACGAAATAAGCATCGTTAGAATCTGCACATTTCATCAGAGGGAGACAGGTTCATTTATACGGCCTATACGAAATTCTGAGCTTCCACAGACGATGAGGTCGTTGAGTGAAGTCTCGACCATTATCGGCCAAGATCTCCGGCGCATTTCTTGTGTAAGAAGTTATGTGAATGCATGAGAAACTATCTTTTGGTAGAAAGAGGTCTGGCGAGTGTGATGGATTAGGCAGAGCTTCGTAGGCCAGCTTGTCCAACTTTTGCACAGTGTGATGTGTGGCGTGCGCAATTGTAGGGGAAGGACATTCAATTTATGTGGCATCTACGTGGCATTTATCGAGCTTTCTTTACTGTCCGTGTAAAAAGCAGACAGAAAAAAGCAAATCAACGGCCTTAGACTCGGGTTCGAAGATGGGCTGCGGTCCAAATTTTCCAAATAACTCTGGGCCATTGTGGTTGTATCTCATTTAATACCCTGCTGTGAAAGAAATAATAGACAGTAAGTAAAAAGTTAAACATAGTGATTTCAACTACAGCATCAGCTTAACTGGGTTTAATGCCGATTTGTGCTCCTCAAATCATTCCCGTTCACGGGTGATTGCTGATGTCAACGATAGAGCAAAAAACAGGCCGATAGAAAGACAAAGCAGAGACCTCAGTGGAGCAGTTGGTAATATGGCACTCAAGTAAAAGGTAATCGCGAGTTCGGGGCTGGCCTGGGATTCGAGTTTTGCAAATATTTCAGCATCGTTATGAGTGAATCCAAAAAATATTACTGCGAGCGTAGTAATATTTCGAAACCGACCTTCCCTAAACCTCGGTGTGATTAATCAATATGTATTCTTTCTTGATAAGCTTACACGAGGTTGATAAATATATTTATTTTCGGCTAACGTTTCGACGTCTTCGTCTTCCTCAGAGCCGGCGATCCGAGTCGATGGTCCATGCTTGTTGTTCGCCTGTACATATTGATTAATCACACCGAGGTTTAGGGAAGGTCGGTTTCGAAATATTACTACGCTTTGTGCTAGCTGATAATACACCGACCTCTGCACGATGTGCGCAGTGATTTATGTCCGGAAGAAATACAAGTTGTTACCACCGGACATTGTCATTACATATCCACCATCAGCATCGTGTATAAAAGGGCATCACTGAGTGAGGATGCCTCATTCGAGAAGATGGCTCGCTGAGGAAGATCTGGCTCGACAGGAAGGCGAAGACGCAACGTCGAGGCGAACAACAAGCATGGACCATCGACTCGGATCGCCGGCTCTNAAAAAACAGGCCGATAGAAAGACAAAGCAGAGACCTCAGTGGAGCAGTTGGTAATATGGCACTCAAGTAAAAGGTAATCGCGAGTTCGGGGCTGGCCTGGGATTCGAGTTTTGCAAATATTTCAGCATCGTTATGAGTGAATCCAAAAAATATTACTACGCTTTGTGCTAGCTGATAATACACCGACCTCTGCACGATGTGCGCAGTGATTTATGTCCGGAAGAAATACAAGTTGTTACCACCGGACATTGTCATTACATATCCACCATCAGCATCGTGTATAAAAGGGCATCACTGAGTGAGGATGCCTCATTCGAGAAGATGGCTCGCTGAGGAAGATCTGGCTCGACAGGAAGGCGAAGACGCAACGTCGAGGCGAACAACAAGCATGGACCATCGACTCGGATCGCCGGCTCTGAGGAAGACGAAGACGTCGAAACGTTAGCCGAAAATAAATATATTTATCAACCTCGTGTAAGCCTATCAAGAAAGAATACATATTGATTACTGCGAGCGTTTGTTTCCCTATTTCTTCCAATTCTTCGTCGTCAGTGCCAAAAGGATGTCTGCTACCTTTCCAATTTTCAAAGTCAAATTCGCAATAAAAATCTTCCAAACCAACGTTGAACTCTCTATTCGTTAACACGTCCTTGATTCAGCACTGCATTAACGTGCCGAGCTGTTTGCGATAAGTATGACAGAGTTTGAAATTGTAAAAGTAAATTCATCGAAGTTGCTGAGACGATTTCGACATATTGATTAATCTCAACAACCCAGCGTTCCCATCCGGAAGCACAGCTAAGAGCAAACCAATATCAGAAACAACCACCGTTCTGGTATCAAACTAGTCGCAGCGTGGTAAATCTCCTTCTGATCCACAGTGGCTGAGACTGCTTGCGGTAGTGACGACCTGAGAAAGGCCTCGGCTAAGATGAACCAGGTATTCCAGAGAACCACATTCGCTAACCCGCAATGGCGGCACACCGTATACTGAATGATGCTCCCATCTACGACGTTAGACGGTGAGAAGATCGGGGAAAGAAGGTCAAGTATTAAATTTCATAGGACATAATTGGAAACGGACAAAGCGAGCACGCTGACGACATGCCATGGAGGCTAATTCTTGTTCTGAACCTCTAACACTAAAACAGTCTCTTCAGACGCTAAAATTATAACTTCAGGCGGTCCTGCTGAGACCGCTGGTCACATAAAATTCCACGTGGTAGCTCTCCAAGAACAAAAAACAAGAGAATCAACACACTAGATCAATTAGCTGACAGAACCGTTTTCATTTGTGGAGGAAAATTTCAGCTATGAAATGTGAGGTGTGAGCCTTCTCGTACGCCCATCCCTTCCCTATCTGGTCATCTGTGCGAAATCCAATCATCGCGCTTAGAACAACTAGTTGGAGGAAGTAATACGCAATTAGAAGGCCTGTTATAAATTCGTTGTACGAGATTTCAATGTCAAATTAGGAATGGTCAAAGAAGATGAATAGAGGATGAGGAAATTCGGAACGGAGGAGCGGATTGGGAAAAAAAACCGACTTGTACCACTCCTTACCGCAAAACGCCTTCCATCAGAACTGATTTTTCGAGAAGACAGGAAATCACCGAT